TCGGCATAGTTTCAACAGGATTTTTGATAAGATTTAATATAGTTTTGCTGTGGTTTCAGCAATTACTAAGGAGGTTTTGCCCACAACCTTAATTGCATGTCTTTTTCAAGCATTATACAATGCAGACCGGTGTTTAAAAAGCTTTTATCAGAAAATTGATGTATTCAAACATCTAAAGATTGAGAATCCTCAACAATTTTACCCATATCCTCATAAATACATCACAAATGATGATGTAGCAGTAAAATTTACTTATGAAGATTGGATGACAGAAGACAAATCAAAGCTTTATTCAGGGGAAAAACTTATAATGGATGTGAAATTGTTATCAAATTTACTCAGAGATATAATGCTAAAGCACACCATCTTTGTGCTGAGAAAAACCTTGCACCAAAACTTTTTTGTGTCAGCAACATCAATTTGGGAGGATGGTACACGATTGTAATGAAATATATTAATGGTGAAACATTGCAGACTGCAAACATTACAAAAGAGGAATATAATGATGTTTTAAAAAATATTCAAGAGGCCATTGACACTTCACACACTAGTGATATTGTTTTTGATGGAAAGTTACAAGTAAAGCTTATAGACTTTGACTGGGCTGGAATACATCAAAAAGATCATTATACACCTATAATGAATCCAGAAATTAATTGGGCAAGTGGGGCTGAAGGAAATGCTTTAATGCACAAAGATCATGATTTATACTGGCTAGAGATATTAAAAAAAAATATGAATATTAAGTTGTTAAAATTTTTTATGTTAATCATTTTACAATATTAGTTTTATTATAGAGATTTGACATCTAATAAGATTATAAAAAGATTTTTTCAAATAGACATTGTAAACATTATAATTATAAACTTTTTAACAAGTCTTGATGTATAAATGTAGTAGTGAGTTGAAAATATGCTGCATAATTATCCTTTTTCATATGTTGTATGTTGCTTGTAGTGAAATAGTATGTTAATTATAACAATTATTAAATAATTCAATAAAAAAAAACCTACAAAGTGAACATAAAATTATATATAGGGATAGGTGTATATGAAAAGTAATAATAAATATAATGGTTCTAATGAATATCACAAAGCCATTGATTTTTTAAAAAAAGGATATATTTATTTTTTCTTATTCTTGTAAATAATTATTAAATTCATATTGGTCTGAACAAAATGCAAAATAAGATAGCAGAGAAAATCAAGTACAAGTTAAAAGACCAGCAAGAAAAAAAAAAGGAAAGCAACCAGTTTTATGACCTTGGAAAGAAAGAATAAATCCGTTCATTGATCTGCAAAAGCCAATTTTTACATGAAAAAAAAAATGAACATTTGCAATTTAACATCTCTCAAAAATAGAAAATTCCCCAAAAATCAAGTTTAATAAAAGATTGATTTTTCCAACATCTCAATTCAATATCAACATGCCATGTTGACTTCTCTCTCCCTTTCTTGGCATTATCAATAGAGACAATGCAGCCATTTTTGTGGAACTGAAATCAAGTTAAATTTACCTTTACAGATATTCTGGTGGATAAACAAATAAAATAACCATTTGATTTTATTTATATTTTAAACTTCATGGTTCCAGAACATACCAAATTCAATATGATGGCAGTTTTGGATTAATCAAGAAACTCTATCAAAAACAAAGGTAGATTGTATAGATCATATTGTAAATGTTGGAAAGGTTTTCAACATTTTGATATTAAACTTAATTTAGAAGTATATTTAGCTAAATGGCATTCAAAAATTCAACATTTTTTCCTTTTAAAACTTCTAATCATGGTGTTGTGAAGCTCCAAGAGGTTGCCAATAGTCACTTTAATGAATTTAAATTATTGAAAACTAAGAAAACAAAAATATTAACATAAAAAGAGATTGAAACTCTCAACATTTCCAGTATTAGTGCCTCTTCTATGGAACATAAATGTCAGGAATGTCTTTACAATAATGTTAGTCCATTTCCAAGAAAGATGGATTCAAAGATATCACTTGTATTGTCCATAACCAGTATGCAAGGTTAACAAGTAATTAAAATTACAAGGTGATAAAATTTGCTAATCACTACAATTCTGTTACGGAAATTGTATTGTGGTGTTATGTTCACTTCGTCTGGTTTATTGCAAGCATTCCCATATTTGCTTCTTTTAAGGATAGAAAATATTTCAAGTGATTCGTACTACATACAAATTTTTGTACTCCTCAACAATAGGACTTATTACGTATATTTAAACTTACCTTTTGAAAAGATTTATATTCATAAATATAAATATTAATAAATATTAAAAATATTTTTTTATGAGTCTTTGACTTTTTTAAACGATCAAAGTTTATCTTCTATAATTAAATCGACTTATATATATATAAAAAAAAGGTATCACATCTTTCTCATCCTCTGTGTGTTATCAATCTAACCAGTATATCTGAAACTATATAACTCACAAAGGTATAAAATAATAATTGAACCATACATAACTTCTGCGGCGTATTTAATAGATTCAGAATTTATTTGACGCGCATTTTTTCTTTTTTAAAACCAAATATCGATCATTCAAAAAAAAAATAACAGAAATGGATACTAATCCACAATTACCGTCAGCAAATGATTTAAATACTACTTGGGCATTCCTTGAAGCAGGAATTGATCAAATCATGAATCGATTAGAAGAAGGTCTTAGTTATAAGCGTTATATGGATCTTTATACGTATCCTTATATTTATTGGGTTTTTTAGAGAGTATTGAAGAGATTATTCTTTAAAATAATAATAATAATAACAATAATAATATATATAATATTTTTCAGATTACAAATAGATCTTGCGATCAAATAGATTAATTTATATTAAGAATTATTCTTTTATATGAGTTAATTAAAATTGATTCTTAATCTTAAAATACTATATGTCATTATTACCCTTAATTACCTATCTTTTATAAATTATCCAGTGGTGTTTATAATTATTGTACAAGCAGTCGTATGGAAAATGAATTAGCGTCCGGACCTTTGACAGGGAATCCTTCACACTTTAATACAAATCGAGGTATATAATATGTAAAAAAAATCAATGAAAAAAATTTAATGAATAGATATTTATATTTATGATTGTATGTGTGTTATTAATATGTTACGTTTTTAGGTGCTAACTTAAAGGGAAGCGAACTTTATCAAAACCTCCAAAGATATTTGGAAAGACATCTTTTGACAATCCGTGATGTAAAATTAAAATCTCTCTCTATTTTAAATATAAGTTGAAATCACAATTATAATTATAATTTAAATTTATAAAATAAAAATATTTTAGAATTCAACACAACACATGGGAGAAAATTTATTAAGATATTATACTAAAAATTGGGAAAGATATACAACTGCTTCACTATATGTGCATCATGTATTTAGATATCTTAATAGACATTGGGTAAAAAGAGAAAATGAAGAAGGTCGTAAAACTGTCTATGACGTTTATACTGTATGTTATTGATATAATATAATAGATTTACTATGTTATCGTTATGTTATCATCATTATTATCATTATAATTATCATCTTTTATTTATTTTTATAGTTAACTCTCGTTAGTTGGAGAGATCATATGTTTACACATGTTCACCGTCATGTAATGATAGCAATTTCAAAACTTATTGAAAGGCAAAGAAATGGCGAAACAGTAGAAACCAGCTTAGTTAAAAGTGTGGTTGATTCATATGGTAAAACAACATATTCTCTCATATATTTTCAACTTTAATATAAATTACTTTATAATAATATATATAAAACTGGAATATTATATATACTATAAATAAATAGTTGCACTTGGACTTGATGATGCAGATTCTGCGAAATCAACTCTTGATATTTATAGAAAGCATTTTGAGAAACCATTTGTAGACGAGTCAGAAGTGTATTATAAAACAGAATCAGAGAAATTTGTATCTGAAAACAGTGTAACAGATTATATGAAGAAGGTAATATATATGTATATATAAAATAGTGCCTGTGTGATTGATTTACAATATAAAAATAATATTAATGTTAATAATTCAAAATTCACCATATTTATAGGCTGAAACACGACTAATAGAGGAAGAAAATCGAGTTCAAATGTATTTACATCCAAGTACACATAAAATTGTAAGTATGATATATATATTTATACATATATATAAAATATGTGTGTATACAAATATAATATTTAATCCATATATATGCGCTTAAACACAAATATTATTATGACTTGATTAGCTTATCTCAACATGTGAGACAGTACTTGTAAAGAATCATACGGACATTATGTGGGATGAATTTCAAAATTTATTGAACATGGATAAATTAGAAGGTAATTTAACTATTACTTCCTCCTTCTCCCAATGCTAATATCTATAATAACAAATCCTATTGAAAATAATAAATTATATATAGATTTACACCGAATGTATTCTCTCTTATCACGTATTCAAGAGGGATTGGAACCTCTCCGTAAACATTTTGAAGAACATGTCCATAAGGCTGGCTTAAATGCAATTGAAAAAATCGCAGATGCTGTTAATGATGCTTTGGTAATAATAAGTAATTTCATTATTTTATTTAATGGAGAATTATTCTTGATAATGGCTACAATGATGATAATAATCATAAAATATCAAATTAGGAACCAAAAACTTATGTTGATGCCTTATTAGAGGTACATAGAAAATATAATGATATGGTCACAACTGCCTTTAGGGGCGAAGCAAGTTTTGTAGCTTCATTGGATAAGGTAATAAAATATAATATATATGACTTAATTATATTTCATATTACTCGCATATATTTATATTTGCAAAAACAAATGTGTATAGGCGTGTCGAGAATTTGTAAACAGGAATAAAGTTTGTAAATCTTCAACATCCAAATCGCCAGAACTATTAGCTAGATTTTGTGATTCGCTTCTTCGAAAAAGTGCAAAAAATCCTGAAGAAGGTGATCTCGAAGATATATTAAATAATATTGTATGTATATCTACAAGATGTATATGTATATTATAGTAATAATTCAATATTATTTGTTTATATTAACACTAATAATTCTTAACATGTAATTTTAGATGACAGTTTTTAAATATGTTGAAGATAAAGATGTATTTCAAAAATTTTATTCGAAGATGTTAGCAAAACGCCTTGTAAATGGTACATCAGCATCCGAAGATGCAGAATCAAGTATGATTTCAAAATTAAAAGTAAGTTCTTCCTATCAACAAAAAAAATATTTTTTTTTGAAGGATATAATAATTTTTATTAATTAATAGGAAGCATGCGGGTTCGAATATACTTCGAAATTACAACGTATGTTTACTGATATGGGTTTAAGTAAGGACCTTAACGATCAATTTAGAGAAAGACATTCAGTAGAACAAGTAGATAATCAAGGTAAATCAATATATCTTTGAATGGATCATTAATAATAACGATCAATGATGAAGGATATTTGTAATGGAAAGAAGTCAAATTTTCAATTAATAATAATAATAGTTGTAATAGTTGTAATAGTAGTTAGTAATAGTAATAACATCAGGAGGTTCAATTTATTCAGGAGTTGAACAACTCAACAAAATATATATTAATTGATTGATTTTTTTAAAAAATAATTTATAAACAGTCGACTTTTCGGTTTTAGTATTGGGTACTGCATCTTGGCCACTTCAGCCCTCCACAACAAATTTTAGTATCCCAGAAGAGGTATCTATAATATAAAATTATAATTATAGATTTATAATAAATGATTGCAAATTTATTCATAATTCTTCTTTAATAAAATTATTTATTTTAAAAATAAAGGTTGAAAGAACATTTCAACGATTCAAGATTTTCTATCAAAATAAACATTCAGGTCGTAAATTGAATTGGCTTTTCCATCTTTCAAAAGGTGAATTAAAAGCTAACTATTTGAAAGCAACAAAAACGGGATATACTTTTCAGGTTTTTTGAATATTTTTAATTAATTAAAGTTAGAAGTCGTATGTTATTTCAACACAAAAATAATATATTTATATATACTAATGTATTTCTAAATTTCTAAAAGGTATCTACATACCAGATGGGGATTCTTTTGCAATACAATAAAGATACATCTTATTCATTTGAAGAATTGAGCCAGAGCACGGATTTAAGTACAGATGTATTATCAGGACAATTGGGTATTTTGGTAAAAGCCAAAGTTCTTTCACTAAATCAGGGTTCAGTTGGTGAGGCAGGATCTCGTTATGAGTTGAATATGGAATTCAAGAGGTATCTTTATGTATATTAATATTTTAGTGGTTAAGATTGAGATTATTGATAATGTTAATAATAATAAATGACTTAATTCTCGTAGTAAGAAAATTCGTGTTCAATTAAATATACCAGTTAAATCTGAACAAAAAGTTGAAGTAGAAGAAACTCATAAGACAGTTGAAGAAGATAGAAAATTGTTGATGCAGGTTTGTGCAATCATTATTAATTATTTAGGGAGGAGTTGGGACATAATTGATGTTATAGATTTTTATTAATTAATCGATTTGTTTTTTTCCCGGTAAATAAAAATAGGCTGCTATTGTGCGTATAATGAAAACACGTAAAACAATGAAGCATGTAGCTTTGGTTCAAGAAGTAATTTCTCAATTGTCAAATCGTTTCAAACCAAAAGTTCCAGATATAAAGAAATGCATTGACGTTTTATTAGAGAAAGAATATATAGAACGTGTCGAGGGTCAGAAAGATATGTTTTCTTATGTTGCCTAGAAAAAAGACGATCTACAAAATCATCATGAAAAAAATTTTTTTTTTCTGATGTTTCCAATGCTATTATCATCATCACAAATAAATTTTAATTGATTAATTTTTTTATTAGTTAATTAATTAATACAATTAATACAATTATTATTGAATATTAATAAATTTTTCGTAAGATTATTGTTTTTTTATATATTTAATAAACCTTTTTATTTACCTTTTTTTATCTCCTTTTTTTGCTTTATTATTTTGTCTTGAATCATAACCAAAAAATTATTTATTTAATAATAATTACAATAATAATATAATGTTGAATTATCATTCATCATCATTCAAGCAAGAGATAGTTAGTAATAATTATAGTAAAGAAGTTAATGATTTGTTGTAGCATTGTTACCAAAACGAATAAAATTTTTTTAATGTATTTATATTTTTTCATTTTAAATTATGCATACTTAACGGATCAGTCAAAAGAAATGCTGTGCTATCCCTCACACATACTTCTATATAGTAATAGAAAGTTTTTGCGGGTGGCTATCAAATTACTATGCCCAATGCCCTAGAATTATCTAAACGACCCTTTAGCCTATATGTCACAGTGTATTAGTCGCGTGACATTTTCTATATGTAAATTAAAATTTTGAAATTCGTGTCACATGAAACTTTAAAATATAAATATCTCGTTATTTTTATAATAAACTCGAATTTCGTTGTTAGAGTAAAATGAAAGTACTCCATTAAAGCTTTCTAATGAATACCTTTTCATACTGAAAGGTCTTCTTACATGAATTCACGGCTACTCAAAAACGGTATTACTTTTTCACTTCAAAGCTCAGATTATTTCTCAATATCGCTTTAAAAGACTTGATAGTAAATGAGAAGGAATGTTACACGTTGAGTCTTGTATAATGGATATTTAACTAGTACAAATTTAGAAATTATCTGCAAATAAATATCCAATCAAATTCAATTTTTGCAGATAGTTTCTAAATTTGTACTAGTTAAATATCCGTTATACTGTAATAAATTTTAGAGAGGTTCACGAAAAACCATTTTATAGAAATTTAATCGTGACAAGAATTTTATATAGATGAGATATAGCAAAAATTAAAAGGTATTTTATTAGTACTGTCTCTGATGCAATTAACACCAACCAAAAAAATGGAGACTTGCGTCACCAAAAACTAAAAAAATAATTTATTAGTACTGTCTCTGATGCAATTACCACCAGCCAAAAAAAATGGAGACTTGCGTCACCAAAAACTAAAAAAATAATTGATGTAATGTTTAATGTTTGAAAACAGACATGTGTGTGTAGAAGTCTTTATAAGGAATTTTGCCATCTAGAACATCTAGGCTTTTGAAAACCCCAGCGTTTAGAACTTCCAAAGCTTGTTCAAAATGTAACATGATGACATTTGAAACATTTTCAAGAAAAGATTGATGGAAGGCTTGACAGTCCTTAGCATTCTATGCTCAAATTCAAAAATTATGACACAGCCTGAAATAGAGATATCAATGCCTCTGAAAATATTCATTTTGTTACAACAAATATGGCAACAAATGAAAACATACGACCAGATATTTCACACAATCCACCATTGGCTAGCTAAACACCTTTTACTTCTTATAATTCTATCCTTAGCCAATCACAAACAAATAATCCAGTATGTGCGAATTCAAATACGTAAAAACTTTTAGAAAGAAATTATTATTTATTATATAATTAATTACCAATGAACTTCATTGTATGTATAATATTGTATATAATCTAATAGATTAAGAAATTATTTTCCAAGTTTAATTTAATGTTCTTCGTCACTACATCACTATTGGAATTGTTTATTCATACTTTTCTTTCTATAAGATACTTTTTTGGTTGGTTTAGTTTTCGAAACAAAGTGGTGATTTAAAGAATTCGCCTTCAGTCTTTTTTTTTATTTTCTGGACAGTTTTGATGCAATTTGTATACTGATGATTTGCACAAACGTCTTGCTGGTAAACTTTTCATCTTTACAAAAAATAATAAAATTATTAGCTTTTACTTTTAAGATTTTTATAATGGTTGTATCCGTTGATTATCCGGATAATCGGTCATTCACCGAATATCCGTTGAATAATATTTAAATTTATTTAAAAAATTATAACAATAAATTTAATATTTCAAGTAACAATGGATTCAATTTTGTTCGTTTGGCTGCCATTGTGTTCCCGGCTTCATTGAATACAGTCAAACCTTGAACGAAAAATTTTATTTAAAATCCGTTGCAGCAAGATTACTATTACTATTACCGATCTCGCCACAACGGATTTTTATATGGTTTTATTAATTATAATGTAAAACAAAAAAAAATCAAAATCTGTTACGACAAGAATTTAATTATAATCCGCTGTCACAAGGTTTGACTGTAGACGCTCATTTGGAGTAGAAGTTGCTGCAATGCATAAATATTTTTAGCTAATAATGACACTCATATTGCTTGACATATTATTATAATAGAAAGAAAATGGATAAAACAGTATTAAAACAATTTTCATTCAATTACGTGGATAAAAATTTTTATTTTTCAACAACGGTAACCAGATGATCGATGAATAGAACTACTAGATTTTTAAAAATAATTATAACGTTTTTATGGTCAGTATAATTTGGAGAACTGCAATTTTACACGCTATACAACCAGTATCATTTTCAGTTGCTTCAATAGTTGAAGAACCGATAAAACCACAGCACAAATAAGCTCGATTTTCATTAAATAAACATCAGGAAAATAAATCTCACGTAAACCTACGCAGGATTTAAAACTGACCAGCATTATGCGGAAATGTTAACAGAATTACCAAAATATCGACATAATGCTGGCCAATTCTGAACCCTATGTAGGTTTACGTAAGATTTATTTTCCTGATGAAGAGACTGATTAAATTAAATCAGGGTAAATTGTAGAGAATGTATGGAATGTAAGAGATTTGTAAAGAATGAATTATTTATTTATTTAATCAAATATTAATATGATTAAAATTAATTTTATTGATTGAAGATCATTTGTTAATTTTTGAGAGGGAAATAAAATGTAAATCCACACTTTCTTTTTTCCTGCAGCAAAGAAATACTTAAGAAATATGTACGATCGAACGCACGATTATCATGGATATTTACCACTTTTACATTGCATCGAACTTTATTTAACATTCAAAGCGTGCGTAACTAATTGATTTGTCAAATAATTCAATTCTTTATCGATTTCATTTGCATATAAACATACTCACAAAAAATTCATATAATTGGTCTCGTACTTTTTACTTTACATTAAAGAAGATGGATTGGATATAAGATGGGAATTAAGTGTGGTGAAAGTTCTAAAATTGGAATTTAACAATTAAAAAATCATTAATCAAGATATTTTGGTTGAGAAAAAGTAAGTAAATAAAATTTATTTGTATAATAGAATGAAAAACAATAAACGACTGGAATATTTAACGGATTAAGGATTGAAAGAATAAAAAGTAATGGTAGAAGAAAATATATAATATAATGCCTATAATATAATTGTATGATCCATTCTTAATAAAGTTATTGTTTTTTTTTTATTATTATGAATTTATTTCTTCAAATCTTTGAAGCTGATTTTACACGCATATACTAAACACCCACAAACATCTAAAATAAAATAAAAATAATTTTATTAAATTATTAATGCTAATGTTAATCAATAAACAAAATAATAATAAATAACTTTGATTAATAATAATTATTATAATTATTACGAAGTAAACACTCTCACACAAAAACATTATCATACACACACACACACACACACACGTCCTCTATGCTTGAATCATTGGCGGTGGTGCTGTATAACGAGATATCGCAATAGTAACACCTTCAATTAACGCTAAAGCACAAGCGCCAAAAATAGCAGATCTAGTTGCTACCGCAACACCACCTATTCCAATAATAATCGTCATTATTATTGTTATTATGTAAAAAATATTCAAAAATCATCAATTTATCAGTAATAATAATAATAATCACAGAAATCAACTAAACATTCGATCTATTGATGGTTATATGAAATAGGAACCTCTTGCTGCTAGTACACCTCCAGTTAAAAAACCACTGGCAATTAAATTCCATGGATCTTCTTTTTGTCTTATTCCTTTTAATGCACAATCAAACGTTGAAAACAATCCTCCCCATACTGCAAAATTTCCTCCTAATATCGGTGAACGTGCTTTAACTGCTGTTATTGCTCCAATAACGCGTTCTCCCTAATCAAATTTAATTGTTATATTACAATTTAATAATGATGATTATTAGAATCTAATCTTTTCAGATCAAATCTTTTCACATACCCTTGGGGAGTTTTTTGCCCCTTTTACAAAATGCCATATACCACCACCAATGGCTCCCATAGCAAAGGCACCCCCTGTATCGTTTAATATTACCCATGGACTATAAATTTTATAAATCAATTTAATATTTTTCATTCTTCAAAGTAAATTCTAAAATAATAATTGTAAATATACTTTTATATTATCATTACCAAGGATCACGATTAATATCTCCGTATCTAGTCATTGCTTGAATATTATTATATTATATTTCAATATCAAATCACTAGCTTTCAAGACGGCGGGCGAACTCTCGATTATTTATTGTTATTATTAAAAAAACTTTTTTTTTTGCCCTATATAAATCTGTCAATCAGACGCTGCGCCCCGTTCACTGACATTCTCCAAAAATGGAACTCTGAATTTGTGTAACCCTTTCTTGGTTAAAAAAAAAAAATTTTTTTTAAAATCCAAAAATTAATGATGGCTTCTTATAAAATAGAAGAGGAACCAAAGAAATTAAGTAGAAAAGAAAAGAAAAAAGTAAGTTATTATTATTTTATTTCAAGAAAAAAGATTTATTTGGAAATGATGAAATTTTTTTTAAAAAATATAGATTTATATATAAATCAATCTAGAGCAGTTATATTGAATTCTGTTTTTGAGTTCAATCTGCAATGTTAGCTTTAAATAAATAGTCATAGTTACACTGATTCAAAAATTAAAAATACAAGAACTATTCATTTTTCTTTTTTAATTTATGAAATCATATATATTAAATTATTTCCCTGGACAAAATTAATTATTTAATAGCTTCGTGAATCAACAGCAGGACCTGGTTGGTTTGATATGCCTAAACCAGAAATAACACCAGAAATTAAAAATGATTTACAGGTTCTTAAACTTCGAAATGTTCTTGATCCTAAACGATTTTACAAAAAAGATAATTCAAAAAAATTTCCAAAATATTTTCAAGTAATCAATCTATTTAATCTATTTACATTTATTACATTTTATTGATTGATTAACAATATTGTGTGTGTATATATATATTTCTATAAGATAGGTACAATAATTGAGGGACCAACAGAATTTTATTCATCCCGGTTGCCACGTAAAGAAAGGAAACAAACAATCGTGGATGAATTGTTGGCTGATGATCAAGCCAAAAAATATTATAAACGTAAATTTTTGGAAATTCAAGAGGTATTTATGTTATTTATATTTGTGTATGTATGTATGAATGTGATTGGTTATTATATGTATATCCATCCATATTACAATTATAGTCCAAGCAAAGTGGCGGTAAAAAATATTATAATAATCTCAAGAAAAGACGTAAACCTAACTGGGAAAAAGGATTTTAATCAATCAACAATCAGTCAGTCAATCAGCCGATCAATAGTAATGATTATTTATTTAAAACCAAAAAAAAAAATATAATATAATAATATATATAGAATAATATATAGTACATATGATCAAAAAGGATAATATAATTAATTATTTAATAATAAAGAAATGGGAATGATGTTGTTGATGATTATGATGCATTTAAAACAAAAATGTGAGTATGGTAATAAAAGTGAATAATATTTTATCCACAATTCTTTCTCTAAATAAAAAATAATTAAAATTAAAAATATTCTCCATATTATATTATTTTAATCGATAAGTTCCCAAGCATCTCTCTTTTCATGATCTCCATTACCACCATTATTACTGCTACTAGCACTCATAGCTGGTGGTATAGGTAAGGGCGTTTTGCTGCTGCTGCTGCTGCTGCTGCTGTTGTTATTGTTGTTGTTGTCGTTACTGCTGCTGCTGCTACTGCTGATTCTGCTTTTTATGTTGCTCTTGTTAGTTGTAGTAAATTTGAATTCACAATTTAATTCCAAGAAATCTTTAACCTGTTCACTAACAAATTCCCAACCATGTGCATTGTTATGAGCCGCATAAAATGGTTGTAGGTACCATGTTTTCAAATCAGTTTGCATATACAAAATTCCTTCACGTGCAAAATTTGTGAATGTATGTTCAATATGATTGTTTTGTCGTTGTCGTGATGCAACGATTTGATTAAATAATTCTCGTGAATTCGATAATGGAATATCCAAATCTTTATGAGCATGAATAATAAATACAGGCAACTCATTTATATGCTATGTTCCCCCAAAGAAAAAAAAATGAAGTTAATTTCTCGAAAATAAAAAATAAAAAATTGAATTAATTATACTTACTTTTACATGTTCTAAATTATTAAATTTATGGACAATACTATTCTTAAAATATTCTATATAAATGCATATAAACATAAATAATTAGATAATTAAATAAGTAATTAATATATAAAAAATTATTAAAATAATTGTTACCTATAAATTCTGGAAAACTAACAAATGGTTTCATAAAAGGTATTCTTCTAAAAGAAGTTACCAAATCAGGAATTGATGTAAAAGGCGATTCAAGAATAAGTGATAATGGTCTAATTCCTATTATAAATATTGAAAAAAATATTAATAATAGGTTTTAAAACTTTGTCACCATAATCATAGTCATCATTGTTGTCATCATACCTTCTTCGTGAAGTTGTCGAGCCAAACGTATCGCAACCCCAGAACCTTGAATAAATTCAATTATAATAAACATATAGATTGTAATCTAAATATTTATTAAATATTTAATATGTGTTTATATAAAATACCTAAGGAATGACCATATATTAATATTTTATTTTCTGGGAATCTTTCTACAACCCAATCCCAAGTTGCTCTTGCATCAATCAAAACTCCATCTTCACTAGGAAACCCATCTGTACGAAATATATTAATACATTATTAATTTATTATATTTCATAAATTAATATATATATATGTGTATATACCGGAATCAGCAAAGCCACGATAATCGATCGTTATAATGTCAGCTGTTGGAATTGCTACCCGAAGAGCCTAAAATCACCGAAAATTTGTTTAATATTTGCAATCATTTTTATTTATCACTACTACTGCTAAAAAAATAAAATGTTATTTATTTGATCCTTACTTTATAAGTGTTGACTCTATTTTCTTTCCCTCTATTCCCTTTTAATTAAAACAAAAAAATATATAATAAAATATGAAAAAATCAATATCATTAATGTAAATATATATTATAAAATGAATAATAAATAAAGTTACATCATACCTATTTGACCGTGGAAATAGATAATCACTAGGTCTGCTTTTTTTATACCTTCTTCAAATAACGGATCAGATTCAATATTACAATCAATATCACATGCTCTAAGATTTGATGACAGGTTTTTACTACTAATTCGTGATAAAATATGCCAGCCACCTAATATGTATGTGTGTATGTGTGAGTGATTTATTTTTATATATTCAATTATATAATTATTAAATAGCTATATGTATGTGCGCGCGCGTAATAAAACTACGAGGTTTTTTGTTGAAAATATTCATATGATTAATCGAATTACCTAGTTGCAATCCATCTGGAGTTGATATTGATATCTTGCGCGTAGAATATGCTAATTCAAAATTAATAATTAGTAATTAATGAAATAACTATCGAACAATTCTATCTGTATAATTTGAAAAAAATTTATTACCTTGTAAACCAAAGCATTCTGGTTTATCTAACTCTTTTCCGTTCGGGAAATTGAGCCAGTGCATAAAAATGAAATAACTTTGAAATGTTGGAAAGTATAAAAATGCTACTATACAAAACTAAAATATTAAATAAGATCATTATAATTATAATTATAATTATAATTAAATTAGTAAAAATAAAAAATAAAACATTAAAATAAAATTTTTTTTAATTTAAAATATATTTACACATTACCAGGTATAATAGCAAAAGATCAAACAATAAAAAGAAAAATGTTGTATAAATTGCAAATAATAAATAATAAAACATGTCTGATTTTTTAAAAGAAATTATAAGGGTTTATTTTAAATGTTTATTTTTTTAAAAAAAAGAAAGCATGTAGTAGCTGTATTATGTGTGTGGTTCTATGTAGGAGTAGTAGTGTGTGTATAGGTACTCTCAAAGATATATCTATTTTGATCATATAAATTGATCTGCTACTACAAAATGTTTAGATTATTGCAAATATTTATCAATATTAATATTGTGACACGAACTGACACTTACGTATTCCAGGACCCCGGAAACTACATAGATAGGTTACCCTAAATTTGGGTAAACTTCATATTGAGCGCGCGAATATCATTACCAAAAATGGCCGTAATTTGACCATATTAGTGCAGATTTTCTCAATTAGCCAATTAGATTTTGGGTAAATTTTGGGATAACCTATCTATGTAGTCTCCGGGGTCCTCGTATTCCGTTACATCATCATCATCTAAATTTTGTACAGCCTTCAAAGGTGTAAAACTCAAAACTGCACTTTTATTAGTTGATTGAGAGAGTTGAGGTGTTATCTTAGTGTTGATATGTTTGTTGAAGAGGATATTACGATAAACCTAAATTTAATTACGTTAAAATCATGTGATTTTCGTCTTCGAATTACAAGATTTTGAATTCTGGTGTAAATAAATTTTCACCTTGTTCTTTTTTCCGATCTTTGGATTACATAATGGATCTTAGTTTCATCATTTAAAAAAGTAAAAGATAATAGATATAATAGATCATAATAAAGTAACGTAACACCTGAAACAGAATTGTCACGGTTTACTTTATTATTATTCTCATTATTATAATGAAATAAAAAAAGAAAGCACAATTGAAATAAAAAAATTTAAATGAATGAAGAATAACTTATTAAGGGTTAGTTAGTTGGCTTGTCGTGGCACACATTTGAATTGTACAACATGCAACATAATATAATAAAATAATTAAAAAATAATTATTATTACGACTTTAATTTTCTTATTTTAACAAGTCACGAAATGGATGGTCTTCAAGCCAGATTCAAATATTATGTTTCTCAAGCTGATAAAGAATTATCAAATTACCCGAAAATAGTTAAGTTGGAACAACAAACTGGAATCCAAAAAACTTATCTTGCAGCTAGTGTTGTTGGTACAATCTTTGTCTTGATCTTTTTCAATGTATGGGGATCATTGTTATCCAACCTTATTGGCTGGCTTTATCCAGGTAGACATATTATTGCATTACTACTAATCATACACTATTATGTTATTATGTCATTTATTTTGAATTAATATAATTTTCTTTATCTATATATATATATGTTTGTTTGTTTGTTTGTATAAGCCTATACCTCTTTCAAAGCCATTGAAAGTACTGACAAAGCTGATGATACTCAATGGTTAACATATTGGTACGAATATGAATTTACATATAAATATACATAAACATGACATGCTTGAATAGCTAACTAATTAACCAATTAATTTGATTGTTTAGGACTGTATTTGGATTTTTCAATATTGTTGAATTCTTCTCTAATCTTGTTCTCTACTGGGTTCCTTTCTACTTTTTTATCAAAACAGTCTTTCTTTTATGGTATCAATTAAATCAATTATACATTAAAAATATAACGTTTACATATAATTAACGCATATTTATATTTATTTAAAGGCTTTTCCTTCCAACTTTCAATGGCGCCAAGATTGTTTATGCGAAAGGAATTAGACCATTTCTTTTGGAGTATGAACACGATGTTGACAAAAATATTAGTAAATTGAAAAAGAAAGTTGATCCTTTTATCGATGATGTTCTTGATTCTTCTAGCAGTAATAAGGATGACTAAGCGAATTAATGAATGATTGGTTTTATAAAATAATTCATATGTAAATTTAATGCAATAGGAAATTGTTAAATATTATTTTTCTATTCATAAAATAAATACGGGTATACTGCCCAATCATTTATGACAAGTGTCTTTATTTTCAATTATTTTTAGCAATAGTGACAACAGGTCCATTAAAAAGCAACAATTAATTTGCTAAAAGTTATCAAAAGTATTATTTATTTGTGGTATTCAAAATTTATCATTTATAAAAAGATACTTTTATTTTTATAGTAGAGTTAGCAAGGTTTCATATGTTGATATATTTTTTAAGAAACAGTAGAACTGATCTGGTTCTTAAATCTAGCAGAAATTACGGATGTACTAAAAAACAACCCCAAATAATCTCTTCATAGAATTCCCATTTTGCTGACATGGCTTGTTTTGATCTTTTTTATTCTTTTATCGTAAAGCTCCCCTGTATTTATTTTTCTACTGGGAACATGTCTGAGCAAAATTTTCTTCTCTTCTTGTGCCCATCTTGCTCCTTTATGAACTTCTTCCTCTCCCCCTTCCTCCTCTTCTGTTCCATCAACATTATTGTCTACTATAATTACTATTTGATGGTGTAATTCTCCAACAAAATTATCTATAATATTAATGTCTTTGACTATTTCATCAGCTATGGTTTCCCTTTCTCTTTGTTCATTCATGAAACTATGAGAATTATGAAAACAAATTATGGTGTTTCCTATCCTCTTGAAAAATATTAATTAATTCATCAAAGCTGTCAGTGCCATTATTATTATCTTTGATAGTTATAGAGGAAACGACATTATTATTGCTTTAACAGTCATAATTGGTAAAATCACATTGATTATGTTGTATATATACTTACTTAATAATAAAATAATCTAACTTCAAATAATAATTGTAATATTAAAAAACACAACTCATTGTTGATTATCTATATTTAATATATATATATACAGTATATAATAAACCAATAATAGTTGTAACATTCGGTCAGAAGTATAGGTGCTGCCTAAATTAAAAATCAAGCAAGAATCCCATCACTTTGTATATAGGTAAACTTGATAAGTCGGATTTGGCCCAGCTCGGCCAAAAATTTTCAGCCTAATATTTAAAATTTCTTGATAAGTCTTCCAACTCTTCTAGAATATATATATATATATATGTAAATTACTCTCGATAAGTCGATCTCGCGTGATTTTTGCATTGAGTGAAGGGTCATCATTACTATTTTTAGTAATAGTGTAATATTATTTTACGTGAAAATTATCAATATTTTTATTTTCTAGTCGGTTATACCATTTATTATCTTGTTCATAATTGATTGTACCATTTATTATTATTATTATCCCAGAAAAACCGTAATCGTGAACAATATATTTGTATTTTTAGTTCTTGTTATCAGGTAGGTCCGACGTATTACTGGTAAAAATAAAATTTTTTTTCTTTAATTCAAATATATTCTTATTATTAAACGATAAACTGATTGTATCACATGATTATAATATAAAGTTGCAAAAAAATAAGTTTATTTATTTCTTCCAGTGGTTACATAGGACCTACCTGATAAGTTATATTATTGGTTTATCATTTCTTATCTCTGAAAAAACGTTTCTTTTTTTTTGTTTGTATCATGAACAATACATTTGTATTATATCATCAATTGCATCATTTATTATCTCTTAGAAGAAAGATCATTTCTTTTTTGTATCGTGAACAACGCATTATGTTTTATAATATTTTGTATGTGTAAAAAGGTCGATTTCAAACAATTTATATAATAATAAAGATCAGTGTAAAAATAAAACCCCATTGAATCTAAAAAATTTAAAGTCACGTGTTTTTGAGTCGGTCCATCATGCTCAGCCTTTTAATGCTAACATTGGAAAAGTCTTCAATTGGAGTCTCTATCAATTCATCTACATCATTTATTCCCTCATCTTCTTCCTGGGTTACTTCTGAATTGATCTGAAGTTGATTATTCATACTCCTAAATATCAATGAAGTACATTGATTGAGAAATCTTCATTTAAGGGGGGATGGGTATGACAGGTTCATCTATGGTATATATGTCCACATGTGAGGACTTTGAATGGTCCATAGTCAATTATTAAAGATTTTTTATCACATTCCAAGCATTAGTAACATCAGTATTTTGAATGATTCTATGGTTGGTTTCTTTAAAATATTCAGTGCAAAGATTTGATATTAGAAAGAGACATGATAGCAGTTTTATAAATAATAAATCTTTATGGCAATTACACATTGTTTATAGCATTAGTTCGCTGTTAAAAATGCAAAATACTACAATCAATAATTAGCAATTTCAGAGCAAAATAGCCATGAATGGGATCAATTTATTTTCTATGGGTGATCCTGAAGGATATAACCCACAACATTGTAGTAGTTTTGATGTACATTAATTAAATGGTTTTCTATGGAGATCAATGATGAAATTTCATGTTATTTATTCAGAGGCAAGAAGCAGATTTTCATTATTTCATAATAGTTTCATTGCTCAAGCAAGAAAATTTCCAAGTTTTATTTTTGATTGGCTCTGATTTGATCTACTATATTAATATCTGTCTGTCTACAGTAATCGCAAACGATTTCAGAGTAGGGATAAAAGATCAGACCTACCCAGAAATCGTCCGAATTAGGTGTTAAAAAACTGGATCATCATCCATTAATTGACAATTTATTTAACAGAATTTAAAATCTACTTGATTATAATACCAATAAATAGTAAAATCAAATATATTGATGGTTATGTTTTAAGATTATATTTAACATAATGTCCAAAAAATTATTCATACAATTTTAGAAAAATAAATATAGATATTCAAAAATAAATATAAAAAAATAAATAATTTAAATACAGGTTTTTAATTAATTAACTGTATCTTTCAAAATTTTGCCGTTTACCAGCTGATAAAACCCCAATACGTTTCAAATGTGGTAAATTTAACCTACAAAAAAATTTTTTTTTTAAATTTAGTATAAGTTGCTTTATGTTTAAAAAACATTATTAATCAAATTACTACTAATTTCCATACCAAGCTGGTAAGTAATTATCAGGTAATTGAGTTTCACGTGGAGTTGGAACTTCAAATGGTCCAGAATCTTCTAGTGGTGTTGTGTCTAATAATAATATATCATTTTTATCATTAGGAACTACACGGCTTGCTACCGCTTTCAAAATTTCAGGGCTGATTGGATTCTATAAATTTTTTTTAATAATAACAATAACAATAATAAGTTCCACAAATTCAACAAATCAATATATATATATATAATTGTAATAATAAATACCTCATAATCAGCAACAAAGTAATGATTTATAAGTTTTTGAATTTGTGTTGGAGTTAACATCCAACATACATCATAAATAATTTCAATATCGCTTGGTGTTGCCTATTAATAAATAAAAGTAATTATAAAATTTGCAAAATAACAAAACCATAAAAAAATTCATTCAAATTTACTTTTTTGAGTTGAAGAAGTTTAGTAGCTTGCATAAGATGTTCCAATTGAAGTGTGCCTTCAGGCATTTCGTGACTCTTGCACCACTCCTCTATTCTGGTAATATTGTACTGAATTTGCATAGCTGTTTATAACAATAATAATTAAAGATATGATAATGCGTTGAAATTAGAATTAAAATAATAATAACAAATGTATGTATGTTGAATAATGTTTAATTTTAAACAAACCTCGCTTCCATGAACAGAAACTTCTTCTCATTAACAAATCATTGAATGACGTTACACCGATAAGTTTTAACAACTCGGTAACCACTTGTTGAACAACAGTCAATTCAACGTAATAAGATTTCATTGATTTCCACACTTTATTCAAAAAATTAAGTAGATCATCCATACTGAATGCAGGTGTTGTAGGACCTGTGATGAATTTGGCAATGAAACGGCTTTCACTGGTTATGAATCCAGGTAGTGATTGGCTTTCAATAACAGCTGGAATGATCATCTTATACAATCGTTTTTTAAGTTCTTTCATCCAAGTATGATAAATGTTATATTCTAAACTTTCCAAATCATGCTTAACAATTGATACCAATCTTTCATAATCATGCCATTCAAAGTCTTTACTACCAGATTCCTCTGCTGGGTTTACTCCACGAAGCATATCTTTCTCAGATGCATTGGCAAACGACAATAATTCATGTACATTGGACAACCAAAAGGCACCCGGAAGAATTGCATCATCACCTTCAAAATCCTATACAATAAAAATTTTTTTGTAATATATCTAATTTCCTAATTCAAAAAAAAAAATTTGTTATTATTGAATAAATTACCATAACGTGTTCTTGTATGGTTTTCATAACATTGGCAAATAATCTTTCGGATTCTTTTATATATCCAAGTTTCCACATTTGTTTTGCCAACAAAGTTATCAAGCGAGCAGGGAAAAGTATTTCCTTTTGTGACGGAGGATTTTGTAAACTTGGTAAAGGTATTTTTAATGATTTAATCAATCCATTAATCACTTCTTCATCAAGAGCTTCTTCGTCTTCTAAAAGCTTCATAATCTAGTAATATCATTTGAAATTAGTATACTAATGTATATATATATATAAAATGTAAATATGATAATTTACCTCGTCTTCTGGATCATCCTCTATGTCTGATAAATGAATACGTCCACCCGGAGCTCGAATTTTTGGAATATTCATTTGAGTATACGATATAGAAACTGGTCTCACACTACCTTTTTTACCTTCAGCCATTATTAAATCAGTTGATGATTTATTTTTTCTTTTAGATACTTCAGTAGGGCCCCAAGATTCAGCAAAACTGTGTCTTCGATTTTTTCGTTTCTGAGTTGATGGAGGTTTAAGAGTTGTATTACCACCATTAGTTAAGTAGCTATTTTCTTGGCGTTGATTTGATGTAGGTGGAGTAGGTGCTCCTTTCATATTAGCAGACTTAACCTTGGCCAATTGTTCCCTCAAATTAGCTATCTCTTGTTTCAATGCAAGAACAGCAGCAGGATCTTCTGTACCTTTGTATTTAGCATTAGTTGCACGAAGTTTTGTAATTTCTTCATCTTTTTTGGTGTTGTCGGATGTGATTTTTTGTATTTCTAAATCCTGTTTTTTGATATTGTCCAATGATGTACGATACCGACTTTCTAGAGTTTCTTTTTCAGCCTGCAGTACTTTAAACTCTTCAATTTTAACGGTGGACTGTGATGTTTCATTTTTGAATTTCTTTGAATCATTTTCCAATTTCTCGTATCTTTCAAGAATAGATTTGATTTGACTTTCTAATGTACTAGTTCTCGACTCTAGGTTCTTATTTTCTTGAACTTTTTGTTCCAGACTTTGGGTAAGCTCGATAACTTTGTTTTCAAGTTTATATGAAACTTCTTTTAGATGTGTTGCAGAGCGTGCTTCAATCTTCAATTTCTTGAGTTCAGATCTAGCCATACGACGACGAAGACATGATTGAACGAATATAACATGCTTAACTGTTCTCTTGTATTCACGACGAGCTGACCTATTTTGGTAATTGTAATAGGTATTATTATTGGTATTATTTAATATTTTAAGTATTATTAGCATTTATATTTAAATTTAAATTTTACCATCCACGATATACAGCTTGAATTTTAGTTGCAGAGACATTGCGAAGCATATCTTGATATCTTTTCCTTGCAATAATACCACGAATAACTATTTTAAAAATAGTAAATTTTTTTATAATAAAAAAATTTAAAAAACCACAAGTATATTTACACATATATTATACTATATTTACCAGTTTGCAATTTGTAAATTGCATTTTTGGCACGTAAATAACGTTTTCTTTGAACGTAACCCCTCCAATATTTTTGAATTTTAATAGCAGCTGTTTGTTCACGTAATCGTTGGAGTTCTTTCATAGCCTTATTACGTCGATATAATGATTGAATTTTAATGGTGGAAGTTTTAATGATTTGATATCTTTTTTGGTGCATGTGTCTAAGCATATTTTTTTGCATAAGAATCACACACTCGTTCAATCTGTCAAGACGAAGTTTTTCCAAATAGGCCAACTTTAAAATGAAATTGATTTATCGATTAAAATTTTGAGATTATATATTATTTGATATATTATTTGACATTTTGTGCCAACATCATCAAGACATAATTATGTGGCAATTCAATTCGTATATAAATATATGTAAAGTATGAAATAATAATTACCATTCCAGCACGGAAAAATAATTTAGTTGAACCAACTTGATATTTATCAGCATCTTTGATTGAAGCATCTAGAATTTGTAAACACATTTTTTGTGTGTCTGAACTCAATTTTGATGAATGAATAAGCATATAATATCTTTGAACAAATTCATCAAAGACCCAACGAGTTGGATAACCAGCACAACTAATACGAATAGTTTCCAAAACACCACAAGCTCTTAATTGAGAAAGAACCATCTGAGATTCAAATTTAGATGCTATTTTTTCCTCATTTGGTTTAATACAACGAATATAGTGCGTATTTGTTGAACTGATTGTTTCCATCAAATTAATCAAAGATTTCTGTTGTTATGGTAGTAGTAATAGATTAATAAATATATAAAAATAAAATATTATATTATATTTAAATAACATACTTTAAATATTGAACCCAAAGTTGGTTTTTTTGGAGCTGCTAAGCTTGAACGTTTTCCATCAGGCTAAATAATAATTATAATAATTATTAATTTATAATAAATAGAAATAATTCGATAATAATTATTATTAAACATACCTTGGGAGTCGTAGGTGAACTCGGAGGAGATGATTTGGTGATTATTTCTTCCAAGAATTCAAACTTGGTATTTTTTAATAAATCAAGATGTTCATCTGGTACAGTGTCTTTATTTTTTTCAAGAAAATTCTCTGCATCATAAGTAACATCATTTGCATAATGACAAATTGTAAAATCATTTTTTGGAAATCTTGGCTTCTTGAAATATTTTCCATACTCAGGTTTATCAAAGTGTTTATATAATTTGTTACACCAAGTGCTGTCTGTACCAGATGGCAAACGACTTTCCTGTTATAAAGTAAATATTTATATATTCATATTTATATTTATTTATTTTACCTTCAAACTACCCAAAAAATATTTTATTTACCTCATCCAAAAGAGAAAGAATACCAATCTTTCCTTCTATCAATTCAATGCATGGTTTGTTGTCGCTGAAATCAATAAAAGTCCAATTAATTTTTTCACGAACATATTCCTAGAAATTAAAGATATGTTAATAAATGCAGAAATATATCTATGTATGAATGTAAATTATCTACCTCTTGTTCTAATTTAAAGACATGTTGATTAAACTAATAATAACAAACAAAATATTAGCCATAATAATTAATAATTGATAATAATAATATTATTAATTTCCTGGAAAAAAAAAATACCTGTTGTTGTAATTTTTCATTTGCATAGTTGATACAGAATTGTTCAAAAGAATTTTTCTTGAAATGTTCAAAGCCATAAATATCAAGAACACCGATAAAACTTTTTGCATTTTTAGTTACATTCTCATTACATAAACTTTCATTAGTTATATACACAAGCCAATCAAACAAATTAGCATATATATATTTTGCCACCGAATCTCTTACAACTGTGGCTTGTAGTTCATTTAAGTCTGTAATAATCTTTTCATTTCGTGTGATAAGTTGTTTCTTGACAATCCATTTTTTAAATCCTACACTGTCTATGCCAAGTAATTTTGTGGCAGTTATTAAAGCCTTGTCAGCATCTGAAACTGTAGCCATATTACGGCTTGCAGTGATTTGAATATTGCCAAGATGTAAAAGAGCAGCGCAGAGCCTAAAAATTTGCCATTGAACTTCAATTGTTATCCCAATTCTAGACAATGATTTCTGTGTAATTTCAAACTCTTCTGCATCGTTAACTGAGTGTTGAGAGGTTTTTTAAATAAAAAAATAAAAAAAATTTATTAATTGATTGATTGTATGTGAATGTTGAGAATTTCTAATTTTTTAAGATAAAAAATGATTAAATTTGACAATTAGGAAAATCTTACCTCCATTTATTGTCCCGCTGCCACCCTGTTTCAAATAATGAAATTGGGAATAATCACCAAGTTCCAAATTCTTTTTTTCTGATGGTGGCGCACCATCACAAAGCTATAAATTAATAATATATTTATTTTGTATATTTAATATTTTATAAGAATCAAGTGGTAATAACAAATAACAATAACAATAATTTATAGTTTGCCTGATAAAAAATATGATAATTTCTTTCTGACTCTGGTTGATAAACTAATCTAGATCGTTCTAATAAATATGTTCTAATTTTCGCACCAATAATGTTTCGATCTGCATCAAACAAAAGCTGAAGTTCACATATATATATAAGAATATAGGATAGTATAATAATTAATGAATAATATTAAATACTTTAAATATTAAAAAAAAATTTTTTTAAATGTACCCACCTCTAAATATTTTCCAAAACGAGAACTGTTATCATTCCTTGTAGTTTTTGCATTACCAAAAGATTCCATAATGGGATTAGTGGCTTTATTTTAAATAAACGAAAAGATATGTATATAAATGTAAGTATTTGTTTTATAATACTTGACGAAAAAAAGTCGTTTTTATTATTGGACATACCCATGATTTGTTCTTCAACTTCGCTCATTCCAGATGTAGTACCGGATGATTTTTTTAAATTTCGCGGTTTTTCTTTATCATCGACTGATGCAAAGTACCTCATTATATACTTAGCACTAGCTGTTTTACCAGCACCACTAAAAAATTGTTTTATTATTAAAGTGTTATTAAATTAATTGACCAATTAATTCTCCAAGATTAAAAAACCCATCATCATCGAATAAACTACCTTTCTCCTGATACAACAATGGTTTGATTTTTGTTCTCTAATATCATACATCTATAAGAATCTTCAGCAATAGCAAACACATGCGGTTCTAATTCTCCACGACGTTTGCCAGAATATGCATTGATTATATCCTGGGAATATAAGGGAACAGGTTGGAAAGGATTTGTTGCAATCAAAACTATACCAGAATATGTATAAATATTATGCTGAAAATATCTTATTTTGATTGTGTGAAGCACTAATAATTTAGAAATTACCAATTTTTTTAAAAGATTAGAATTTTGATATAATCAATTTATATAATTATTGTCATAGGGTGTTGATTATATATATATCGTTTTAACAATACAACCTGCAGGTTCATTAAGATAGGATAAACTTGTTAAATCATCAACAGCCTCAAGCATAGGAGGATTACGGAGAGGCGGTAATTCAGCATTATGTGTTGCATCGAGTTTTTTTAATGTAGTCGTGATAATTAATTCCTTTAAATATATAAAAAATATAATTGACATATAAAGTCATTCATCAATAAAAAATGGATGATAGGTGATTTAAACATATAAACTTTTTTTATTTTATAATAAAAATTACATCTAAATATAAATTTAAGCATAACATCTATGTTTAAATTTGATAAACCATTTCATTCGTAGATGGATAAATAAATACCTTGTTGTTGTCATCAGATATGAAAACCAATTTAACGTTATCACCAGTAATTTCTTTTAGCGATAATTTAGCACTTATCCAACCAAACTTATCGTCAGGCCACCAAACAGCAGTACCTTTACCATATACCTCTAAGGAATGAGAAGCCATTTATGAATGAGTAATGATGACAGATTTGAGAGTGTTAGAGCTGACACCAAAAGAATCTTAACAAAATCCCAGAACTTTTATTAATCCAAAAGGCCTAGCCACAGTCTAAAAAATTAACGCTTAAATAAAAAAGTAATACAAACAACAAAAAAAAAATAATTCACTCCCCTATAAAAAAAATAGGTGTGAAAAAAATTCGTGTTTTAAAGTTTGGTGCTTGCTTGACAGGGTCCCGAAAATTATATTAATTGGGGAGCTTCGTTTTAATTTTAAGTACCATATTTAGAACGATTTACATGATGGCGTATTCAGGGCGAATTCACGATTTTTAAATTCAATTCATAGACCCTGTATCAGCAAAACAATAATAATCTTGGCATATATGAAAATAAGATTCTTTTTATCTGTCCAATAATTAATCTCGATTTAGTGTACCCCAATCTAACAGATCTAATTAAAAAATCTTGATTGAGGCCAAGAGCGGTTTACATAGGTAGACTTTGATAAGTCGGTTTTGGCCAAAATTTTTCAGCCCTTTTTTTCCCTATTTAAAATCCCTTGATAAGTCAGCCAACCTATATAAAGTCGCGATAAGTTGCAAGTCAGCCAACCTCTTTTTAGGATAAGTAAATTGTTCTCGATAAGTCAGCCTTACGTGCATTTTCATTAAATAAAAGATCATCATTACTACTTTTAGTAACGTATGATTTTTTTTTTTTAGAGAATTTTATATTTAGAAATTCTCGTCGCGATATTTTTATTATTTCATTTTGGTATCATCAGGTTATATCATTGATTGTATCTCTTAAACCGTAGAAGTCACAAATTTGTGACTTATGATATTATTAATAAATAAGACTTTTGGCATGTGAATACGGTTTATGGGATAATTTACAGCCTGATTTAGAAAGAATATTCTGTTTGTATTGTGAAAAATTTATTTATTTATTTTTATTACGTTTTATTGTGTTCGGAAATATGTATAAAAAAGTTGATTGATTTCCAACTTCTGAAATTCTAACAAAAAGATTAATATAAATAATTATTGTTTTAAAAAATTATTTATAATTTATTTATTTTCATATTTTATATATTTTATCTTATTATTTGTAATAATAAAATTTTTATGTCACGTGCTATCTGTAAGACGGTCTCGATAAGTCGGTTCTCTCGATAACATGCTCAGCAATTCGCGGCTGACTTATTGAGTTTACCTATTACTAATAATAAAATCTCTCAATATAACGAATTTCTGATATAACGGCTTCTAATTTCCCAAACTATCCGCTAAACCCAGGTTCAATAAACACAATCATTAAATCTAAGGTTTGTCGTAACAGAGATTATTTGTATAGTCGCTATAAACGAGTATATAAAGAACTCATTAATAAAAGCGAACGCTGATATATTCACATTAATTAATTAATTTTGCGTCAAATAACTTTTTGGAATTTCCAACAGATGGCATTGGGTAATATTTTCCAACTTTGATTCTTGTTGGAATTATTGCTCTTCTTATCCGAAAGAATTTTTTGTGATATATCCGCGTGTGGTTACTTATATTTTTCATAAAACAGCAACTCATTGCAGAAATACAAAAAATAATTCAAAACTTAACAAATTCTTGAATGGTGGTGTCATATTAAATTTGGACAAGTTGATGCTGAATTTGCAATTCTACGTGAATATGTTTTCGTAGTTGTTCACGAGATCCAGCATTCAGGCTGTTTTATAAAAACGTAAATAATAAATAATATAGAAAACCATTTTACCAAGGACACAGTCACAATGCATCATTCTACAATTGTATGAATCAATTGGTTATCTAAATTTAAAAACGAATCCAAAATATTTGTCTATTTGGGAACACCTAAATTTATATCGTTTTTTTTCTTTTGATACTATACATAAAATAATAAAATTAGAAAAATCCCTAAACTCAATTTTGTAATTAATTTATTTAAAGCGCAAACATATGTAAAAGAGAAACAAAAAGAAATAATAAAAGATATGGGTTCTTCGATCTCTAGCCAAATCGAAACATCTCATTTTTCAAATAATTAAACAGTTAGGCCGCACATACTCGATTTTTTTGGTTCTCATAACGCCAGAATTTGAAAATGACCCGCTTATTTTATTTTAATAAAAAATTTTATAGAAAAAACCACCTGGCAGGTTTTTATAATAACATTAAACAACATATAAAAATTTTCTTCAAAATTGACCCGAGAGCCGAAAAAATCGAGCTTGTGCGACCTTATTGTTATATCTGATGCCATATCTTCAGAAAATATTATTAAAGTTTAAATCAGCATTGATTAAATCAGCGTTAAATCAAGATTAGGATTATTATTGGCGCAAAAAGTTGTTGAAGTTGTTGTGGTGGCATTATGTTATCATTAATGTTATTGCCGTTTAAAAATGGTTGTGACTGTATTGTGTTAATTATTCCATCTCTCGTACGAGTTCTTATACATCCGTGACTTCATCTGTACATCATAATCAGGAAAGCTAGTAGCAAACTATATACGTATTCGACAAAACAGAGGCTTGCGTATAATTTTACTGCATAGTAATATTATATGGATATTATTGTTGTTGTTGTTGTTGTTGTTGTTGTTACATTTAAACCCACCGTTTTCCTAATGCAGGTACCGTGTATAAAACGATAGTGGGAAGCCTTTATATAAAATAATTGCTAGAAATTCATTAGAAAGCTTTAATAACGCATATAAATCGGCATATGTGAATCAAGCATAAACCTCCAAACGAATATCCTTACCATAATTGCATCGATTATTTTAATTACAAATATGATTGATTCTCGCTCAGTTATGACGTGTATGCTTAATATTAATAATAATGTAAAAATGGGATTTATTATTTATATTTAATAAGTAATTTTCCCTTACAATAAAAAGATTTGTATTACAAATATTTTTGAGGAATTAATTACAAGCCAACACTATAAAAATTGTTCACATTAATACAATGCTTTATATTTTTATTTTGTTCTGATAATTCAGTTTAACAAAACGAATTGAGAGGAGTTGCCTTTCCAAGAATCAAAAGGCATGATCAACTAAAATTAATGTGTTACACCATTTTCATTCATATATTAAATTGTTAATTAATTAAATTATTAAAAAAACAAATTGTCTAATTCTGGCCACTGACTTTATCAACAATGGGTCTTTGTATATCTGCCGAAGAAAAAGAACTAAAAGCACGAAGCAACAAAATTGACAAACAAATCGAAGAAGATAGTCGAAGATTCAAAAAAGAATGTAAAATCCTTCTGCTAGGTATGTTATGTTACTTATTTGTTTGTTATATAAATCTATTCATTTTTTCTTATTAATCATTTTCTATAATGTTAATTTATCACCTGCAACAATATACCTGCATAATTTATATATATATGCGCCTTATATAACAATTTAATTGTTTAAATAATTATTGGGATTATTGGAATTCTAAAATTAAAAATTATAACTATTAAAAAAATTATATGTGGGCATATAGGCTCTGGAGAATCAGGAAAATCTACTATAGTAAAACAAATGAAAATAATACATCAAAATGGATACACAAAAGAAGAACTAGCACATTATCGTATAACGGTATATAAAAATCTTATGGATTCAGCCCAAGCGATAGTTTATGCTATGAAAAAATTTCAATTAGAACCTCGAAAATCTATAAACAGGGTATGAAATTATGCATATATTGTTATCATAGCATATATAAACATAATATTTAATATATACACAAACTTATTCATACAATAGGTTTATGCAGAAAAAATATTAGAGTATTATGTAGAATCAGATCCAAATTTTCAATTAAACCCAGAGATAGTTGAAGCAATTGATTCGGTATGGAATGATCCAATAATATCAGAAGTATTAGATAAACAAAACCTTTTCTATTTAATGGATTCTGCTCCTTAGTTAGTATTATAGTCATTATAACAATTAGTATTTATTGTTTATGTGTATATATTTATGATTATTTATAAATATAGTTTTTTTGGATCAGTAAAGAGAATTGGAGCTCAAAGTTATATTCCAAATGAGACAGATGTTTTACGTGCGAGAACAAAGACTACTGGAATAATGGAAACAAGGTTTACTATGGATATACTAAGCATACAGTAGGTTATCAGAATAAAAATGATAATTACTGCTAATATATATTATTATCTATATATTATAGATACTTATATATGTGTGCGTGTGTAATTAGTATGTTTGATGTAGGAGGTCAAAGATCAGAAAGAAAAAAATGGATTCATTGTTTTGAAGCTGTCACATCAATTATTTTTTGTGTAGCGCTTAGCGAATACGATCAAGTTTTATTGGAAGAATCTGGACAGGTTCTTTGTGTTTTTTTTTTTTTTGGTGAAGGAAGACAAAAATTATTATTAGTCAAATTAAATTATTATTATTATCATTATTATTATTATTATGATAATAGAATCGTATGATAGAAAGTCTTGTATTGTTTGAATCAGTGATTAATAGTAGATGGTTTTTGCGAACATCAATCATTTTATTCCTTAATAAAATTGATCTGTTTAAAGCAAAATTACCCAGAGTTCCTCTCTCGGATTATTTTCCCGAATACACAGGTAAAATATTTATTAATATATATTATTATACTATATATATATATTAAGAGTATATTAATATTTATGCATACATGTAGGTGGTAATGATATAAATAGAGCATCAAGGTATATATTATGGAGATTTACACAAAAAAACAGAGCAAATCTTAATATATATCCACAGTAAGTAATTGTTTATTTATGAAGTTTATGTGTGTGGATAAATCAATCAACCCAATCAATCAATTATTATAATTATAATTATATATTTATTCATAGTATTACACAAGCAACAGATACTTCAGATGTAAGAGTATTTTTATTATTTAATTTTTTATCAAGTTTGCATTGAAAATTTGGGTCTTTGCTAAATCATCTTGTTTTTTTTTTCAAATCACAATAAATAAATAAGATACGGTAAGTATCCCACATCTGATATATATATCTACACATATTACGTATATTTAATTTCAAAATATTAATATTAATTAACAATTAATAATTATGATCGTAGGCTTGTATTTGCTGCAGTAAAGGAAACTATTCTACAAAATGCTCTAATAAAAAGTGGCATTCTATGATATATATATATATTTGTATTATATATATATAAATGTAGTTTTTTTATTTTAGATATATTTTTTCTGTGATATTGAAATACTTTGTATATTGCATTTTTGCTAATAGTTTTTTTGGGGGGTGGAGAGTGAGAGAATGTGCGAAGTGTAATGTCCAAATAAAGCCATAGTTTATTTTGGCTAACATTAAATAAGAAAATAATAATAATAATAATAATGGACTATCTTTTTATTCTCAAGATATATATTATTGTTACTATGATTATTATTATTATTATTATTATTATTATTATCATCATTATTATTATCATCATTATTATTCCAGCGAATTTTTAGTTTTAGAAAAAAACAGTGTTAATTGGTAGCGTTTTTTAGCATTAGAAAAAATGGACTTTTTTTAATAATAATAATAATAGTAGTAGTAATAAGCAATATTAATAATTTTATTTATATTCCATCCCGAGTAATAAAAATAATTAATTAGCTTTTTTCAAAAAACCTAACATACGAAATCTTCATTTGATTATTAATATTAACTTTGGGTAATAAAATTTATGTGCACAAAAATCGATCGCATTTCAAGGAATTTAAAGGTCGAATTTTTACTATGAAATTGAGCATGGTTTTCCAAGCAAAAAATGTTTTACTACTACTATGTGAACAATTAACGAAAGAATACAACTCAACCAAATCAGTGAGCTTTTGGAAAATGTTTAGCAAGACGATTAATATTATTAAAATATCTATAAGATTTATCTTGGTGTCAAAATTTTTCTCTTGTGGAAAAACGACATTTTCCGTTTGCCTTAGTTATATATTAATATAGTATTAGTATTAGTATTATTAGTATTATTAGTATTAGTGCTATATATTAGTGTATTACGTATTAGTATATTACGTATTAGTATATTAATATTAATGGTTACACAGTATAAAGCTGTCAAACTCTTTGACCATACCCCATACTAATAATAAATATAAATGAGCAAATTTGTTCCTCCCAGTTAACGTGAAGAATATCTCCCAACCTTCATTAGGGAATACACTTGAAAAAGCCTGAAAACTTGTGTTATTGTTAATTTAAAAACCACATATATTTTTCATACAAATAGTGGGTTGAATGTCATTCTGATCAACAAAAACATTAGCACAACATAAGTTGTATATAAATATAAACTCTTTTTACTTTTTTATTATTTTATACAATTTTTTTGTTCCAAAATCTAAATTCCCAATTTCTTTATATATACAACATAATAGTTTAAATTATAAATAAAATTATTGAAGTGGTTGGTTTAATAACCAGCAGGAGTAACATATATGTAGTGTATAATAACACAATGACCGAGATTACTCCATTGTTAAAACAGACAGATCCAACTACGACTGCAAAAATTATTAATTATGATTCTCTAATAAATGTAGAAGAGTTAGAAGATACAAAAAATATTTTGCAAGACATTAATAATACCAATAACAACGACAGCAGCAGCAGTAATAATAATAATCAAAAGATTCCGTTTTGGAGATTTTTGAAAGTTATTTTACAATTAGTGATAATATTTTTAATATCAGTTTTTTTGGTTTATTTTGTATTGATGGTATTTTTACCACCTTTGACTGAGTAAGGTTTTTTTTTATAATCAATTTATCATTAATCAAAATAATTTATCTAATGAATTACTCTTATTATCATAGTGAACAAAGGAATCATCTACATATTCCTACGGGATTAAAAGATCTTCAAGCATTAAACAAGTTATTAGGTGAAACCATAGAAAGTTATTACGTCAATTTATTAATTATTTATGTGGTCAGTTATATTTTGTAAGTTTTCAAATTGATTTTATATTTATTTATTTTTTAATTTCTAAAAATTAATAAAAAATTTTTTTCCAACAATAAACAAGTTTACAAACATTTTCAATACCAGGTAGTATGTGGTTATCAATATTAGGAGGTGCACTGTTTGGTTGGTTCAATGCTCTTTTACTTGTTTGTGTGGTATGTATACATATTTTATTTGTCAAAAGGAGGAATCGATCACTATAACCTAATAAATTATCTAATTTAATAAATTTAGTGCTCATCTATTGGCTCATCAAATTGTTTTCTTTTATCTAAAAAATATGGAAGAACATTAGTAAAGGATAGATATAATGAAAAATTGGATAGATTGGCAAATCAAATACAATCACATTCTCGTCATCTATTAAACTATATTGTCGTGTTGAGACTTTCGCCTTTTCCACCAAATTGGTTCGCCAATCTTGCAGCACCACATCTTGGAATACCGCTGAAAACATTTTTCATTGGAACATTCTTTGGTGTTGCTCCGCCTTCATTCATACATGTTCAAGCAGGACTAACAATAAATAATATTACAAATGATTCAGATTTCGAAATATTTACATTTAAAAATATAAGTGTTTTAATATTAGTAGGTGCTGCTGTACTCTTACCGGTTTGGTATAGAAAAAAGGTCGAATCATGTTCTGAAAATTCTGATCTTGATTCTGATCTTGAAGATACAGAAATAGAACAACAGCAGCAGAAACGTCCAAAACAAAATCATCATCATCAGTCATTTCGATCGTCATTTCAATCGTCATCTTCGTCATCTTCTTCATCATAATCATATAAAATTTAATGTAAATTATAAATTTGTTTTTTCCTCTTTCTTTCAGCAATATTTTTTCTTATAAAAAAAGTTGTTTGAATGATTGATTTGATTATTGATATTATTGTTAATTAATTAATTTGCTTTTTAATTAACTTATAATCCAATCAATATTCAGTTAATAATAATTTGATTTTTATTCCGATTAGAATTTTTAAAATGTAAATTATATTAAACTTTAGACATAGATTATTATAATATTGTTTTATTTTGTAAATTATAATTTATTAATCATAAATATATAAATATATATATATATTATGAATGAAAATAAAATAATGCATTTATTTATTACAACGTCCAATATTTAAACTATTGTGAATTTCTAATTGATTTCTTTGAAAAATATTTAAATAATAATAATAATTTTAATCATTAAATGCTAAATAATAATAATAATAATAATGGTAATAATAATAATAATAATAATAATAGTAAAATACATTAAAAAAAAAAAAAAAAATTTTTTTAATAAATGTTCTTTTGTAGAGATTTAATAATATAGATGTATATATTTGTGAGAAGGGAATAGATATACGTGATTAACATATATTAAATTATTTGATTAACTTTAAATCTCATAATTATGATTGTGAAAAAAAAAATAATAATCGTCTATATCCAATAATAATGATAATTTAGAAAAACAATACGCCGAAAAAGAAAGCTCCAACAGCAGCACTTACTACCACTTCAAATGGATAATAACCTTCTGGAACCTTCTCTTGTGTTTTGACAGAAATTCCAATACCGCTCGGTGTGTTGTTTTTATTTGGTAATGGTTGTTCAACTTTACGTTGTCTAAGTTTAGATAAGTTAGTTTCTTGTTTATATTCCTCAATTATATGATTCAAACGTTTGATTTCTTCTTGCGCTTCAAATAATTGACGTCTTAATTTATCAACGTTGACTTCTGCACCATGTTTAAGTTTAATACTATCATTATTAACATTATTATTGTTATGATTATTATTAAGTTTGTCAGATAACGATTGAACATCCCTATTGTTATGAGATTTAACAGTATTATTATCGTTTGAAACAGATCTATTATTATCAAATGCTATCGTATTAGAATCATCACTGTCTTTTGGATCAGCATTCTATATGTAAACATATATTAATATAATTAATTATTTTTAATATATAAAATGGAATAGAAAATAGAAATCTATTTATTAAATTTTTTGACTTACGTTATTTGTTACATCGTTGACCGGTAAATCTGGAGAAGAAGGTTGTTGATGTGTATTGTCTAAAGTTGATATTGGTGGTAAGTAAACACATCGAATTTTAGTTTCTTTAATTGATCCTTTTGTTTGTTTTTCAATTGTAGCCCACTAGAATTTAAAAAAGAATAATAATAATAATAATTATTATTATTATTATTATTATTATTATTATTATTATTAATTGACGTTACAACTTTTTAAAAATTTTGATATTTATTTATAGATTATAATATTACCAATTCTTGTAAAGTTAAATTCTCTTGTTCTGGTGAGATTGGAATACTTTGTACCAAGAATTTATCCTTACATTTAAAATCAACTGGAGGATCTTCTTTCATAGCTTGAAGAATTACTACAATATATAACGCACAATTAATAATAGTAATAATCTATTTATATTTATGATATATTACTATTACTAAAAAATTTACCTTGAACATCTACAGTTTGGTTTGCTTCAATTCGACCAGAATTTGGTCTTACACAATATTGTTTTGGTGCAGTGGTTTTTACCTTAAAAGCAATTGGTTCAGGATTAGGATTCTTTACTGAAAGAGTTCGAGTTACATTTTGTGTAAAAGGTCCTTTTTTTTAGAAGAGAATTTGAATTTTTTTTTAATAAATTTTTTAAATCACTATATTTTTTATTGAAAAGAAACAAGTATATTATAATACATACGAGAAAATGCAAGTTGGTTTGGTGGGTCAAGTGAAACAGACATGTTTTTTCTTTTCTTTATTTCCTACTAAACTTTCACACTACAAATATTATAATGACAATATTTTACTTTTCAAGATATTTTTACAAATCGTAACTATTTTATAACTTGCAAGTTAGACGCTTTAAGAAAATAAATTAAAGAATCGCAGATGAGTAAGAAAACTAAGTTTTAAAAAAATTTTTTTTTTTTTGGCATAAAACTAAATATAGAAATTGCAAATCAGAACATAATACAAAGAAAATTTCAGGGGGCAAATAATGAAAAATTCATGCTAATACTAATGCTTATTATTGTTGTTATTTTTTCACTTACAGGGTTGTTTCTTTAGCTAGTGGATTTTCTATTTTCTATGTGGCATAGATAAAAATCCGATCATTGGCTATTATCGTATCACAAAAATCAATTACTTGTCTAAATTTAAAGAAAATTTCTTCTAAAAATTTCTTTCTTTCGTCAGGACTGATTAGATCGACAAGAGGATTGATTTCACAACTTATTTTCATCAAAATCCAATTATATTGATATACTTAACAACATATAATATAGAGTTTATATAAATATGCATTAATATCTTGATTACCATATACTATACAAGGACCAAAAATTTTTCGGCTTACACCTTTATTCATTTTATTAATTATAAATGACAGTTGCTTGAACTATTTTTATTTTTTTATGTTACGCGTTAAGTTAAAATGTAGATCATCACAAATTTGGATGTTATGACAGAAAATTTGTGCAAATTTTGAGGTGGTGTTATATAAGTCTGTGCAGCGCCGGTCACAAGTACACATTCAATTTTAAAATTTTAATGATCTTTCCAAATTAAGCAATAAACAAAAAAAATTTTTTTTTATATATACATCAGGAAAATAACATTTTAACTCTATATACTGTCTCTAGAACAGAACGATGTGACTTATATTGTTTCATTGCAAATTCTGCTTGGATTCCGTCTAAACCTCTTCTATAGCATTCCATAAATCTTCTTGTTCTTTGTGCATATCTTCTCTAAGGCTCCGAACGAATCAATGAAATTCGAACCGATTCGAACCGATTCGAATTCGAATCGAATCGAATCACTTAATTTTTGATTCGAATCAGTTCAAATCGAATTCGAATCGAATCGAATTGTACTTTGATTCGATTCGATTCGATTCGAACTGATTCGAATATATAATTTAATTCGAACGGATTCGAATTCGGATTGATTCGATTCGATTCGAACAGATTCGAATATATAATTTGATTCGAACGGATTCGAATATAT